CCAAAAAAATATGCCCGTTGTTTTAGTTAAGTAGTAATGCTACTTTTGACAAAACTGGTCCAGTTCTAAAAGTCTTATTTTGAACATGAAAACATAAGCAATTACTAAGGATGGATTTACATTAGGATTATTAGAAGTTACCAACTCCTGCAGCTATGTCTAAATGGGTGTGGTTATCCGACCTTCCAGGAGAAATGCACAGGGAACAGGAGTGGGAAGGTCTGCAATGTTGCTGCTGCCAGGAGGTGGCTTGGCAGGGATGGAGCCCACCTGACAAAGTCAGGGCTGGAGTTTCCCCTTAGGCAGTTTAGAAAACTTAAAAAGCAGCAGCTGAAGGTTGCTGAGACCCACATCACCTCCTATACTGGAGTTCACACTCAGATGCTAAAGGCTGCCAGCAGCCACAAGTTCCTCTGGCTCCATTTCTCTGTGTTGCTTAATCACAGCTTCCTCAGTGTGATGCAGAAGAAAAGGAGGAATAATCAGCTGAAGAACTGCTGCTTTACACAGCAGCCCAAGGATGAAGCTGTCCTAGCAGGAAACACAGGAGGGCACAAATTTACACAGCCAGAGATTAAAACACAGCACTTTGAAATATAGTCTCTCCCAGGTGCCTATAGCTTCCCAGGGCAAAGCCTGGCCTCAGTACCATGATAAAATAATAAAATGTTCTACATATACAATGCCCTGATTTTGCAAGTGTAGAATCAATTTGCAGAAATTTCACTGGATCAACCCTTCAAAGTCTGCAGCTTTTTGCTTGCCTTTTTTTTTTTATTATTATTTTTAAAATAATGTTAACACTCAGACTCCAAAATCTCCATTTCTAGATCTCAATAATCATAGGCAGCTTTTAAATATCCAGGGTATCTCACAGCTCACACAGACTTTGCTTCACCAGCAGTCTTCTAAGCAAGCACTTCAGTAGAACCCAGTGGATACTAACATATTTCAATGTCTATAAAAGAGTCACAATATAACTGTAGGAAACCTTATGTTTTCCCTTTTTTTTTCCTTCTTTCTTAAAAAGCCTTGGACAAGGGCTTTTTGAAAGAAAAAGCCTCAGCATATTTTTCTCCCTGCAGTAAAAGTCTTATGAAAGTTTACATATTTCTATTAGTTTGACTGCCTCCAGATTTTTGGCATGCCTTGGGACAACTCTATTTTTAAACTCCTAACTGCATACAGAAAACTTGATAGAGAGGTTTAAAATTTGGCAGTATTACCACCAAAATGTTTTTTCAAGCAGATGAACATTTCAGGGATACAAATGATTTTGCAGATCTCAGCCAGAGGAATTATTAAAACGTCAAAAGTTTAAGCTACTGGCAAAAAATAATGTAAAGCTGCAGAATGCCACAAAAAACGGTTCTTACTTTCAAATAACATAAATCTGAAGTTAATTGTGCACATCAAATCTTAGGGTGAATGAACTGCAGGGAATTAAAGGCTTTGGAAGACTTATAATCTTTAAAATTGCCTGACTAAATTGCTGACTTGATTTTGCAGAAGCAAACATACATTAAATAGCAAAGAATATTAAAAGCTACCCAAACACTCAGTCCCTTAAGTCTTGGGAAAACAGATGGGTCACAGCAGCACAGTGCAAATCCTTGAAGCCCAGCGTGCATGACACACATATCTACAGATTTTAGAATCACAGAATCATTTTGGATGGAAAAGACCTATAAGATCAACAAGTCCAACCATTAACCCAGCACTGCCAAGTCCACCACTAAACAATGTCCCTTAAGCACCACATCTACATGTCTTGTAAATACCTCCAAGGACGGTGACACCACCACTTCCCTGGGAAGCCTGTTCCAGTGCCTGACAACCCTTTCAGTAAAGATGTTTTTCCTGACATCCAATCTAAACCTCCCCAACACAACTTGAGCCTGTTTCCTCTTGCTCTATCACTTTTTACCCAGGAAAAAAAGACCAGCCCCCACCTTGCTACAACCTCCTTTCAGCCTCCTTTTCTCCAGACTAAACAACCCCAGTTCCTTCAGCAGCTCCTCATAAGACTTGTGTTCCAGACCCTTCACCAGCTTCACTGCCCTTCTTTGGACATGCTCCAGCATCTCAATATCCTTGTTGTAGTGAGGAGCCCAGAACTGATCACAGTATTTGATGTGAGGAAAACCTTAATTTTGAAGACCTGAAGAATCTTCTTCTGCCCACTGCTTCTCTCATGTCTTTCCATCAACTCCTCTGCCTTCCCTGTCCATTTTCCAGTCTTCCCAACCCCTCCTTTACTACCTTCCCTTATCTTCCTTCTCTCTGTTGTCTCTCTCCCCTGCCATTAATCCTGCCTTGGGTTAGTCTGTCTGCCAATGCTGCATCTCCTCTGCTCTCCCGCTGCCCCTTGCTTGGCAGCCACCAGCATCCTCTCCTAGCAGAGCCTGAGATGATACCCAGGTAAATAGCAGCGTGCCAAACGGAGGGCTCAGACAATTCGGGAGGAACCATATGGTATTACCACAGGTCCAAGCTGACCACAGCTTTTATCCAAAGCAAAAGAAGGGGAAAAACAGAGATGGCCTTAGCACGACGTCATTGTTGAATCTGACCGCAGTGACATTTTTGCTGTTCCTCCCACAGTAGAGGTTTCAAGAGAAGTCAGAAGGCAAATTTGCTCAAGGTTTGAGAGACCTCATTGCCTAAGCAAGGCCCAATCTGAACACAATCAGCCTCCTTTTCTCCAGACTAAACAACCCCAGTTCCTTCAGCAGCTCCTCATAAGACTTGTGTTCCAGACCCTTCACCAGCTTCACTGCCCTTCTTTGGACATGCTCCAGCATCTCAATATCCTTGTTGTAGTGAGGAGCCCAGAACTGATCACAGTATCTGATGTGAGGAAGACCTTAATTTTGAAGACCTGAAGAATCTTCTTCTGCCCACTGCTTCTCTCATGTCTTTCCATCAACTCCTCTGCCTTCCCTGTCCATTTTCCAGTCTTCCCAACCCCTCCTTTACTACCTTCCCTTATCTTCCTTCTCTCTGTTGTCTCTCTCCCCTGCCATTAATCCTGCCTTGGGTTAGTCTGTCTGCCAATGCTGCATCTCCTCTGCTCTCCCGCTGCCCCTTGCTTGGCAGCCACCAGCATCCTCTCCTAGCAGAGCCTGAGATGATACCCAGGTAAATAGCAGCGTGCCAAACGGAGGGCTCAGACAATTCGGGAGGAACCATATGGTATTACCACAGGTCCAAGCTGACCACAGCTTTTATCCAAAGCAAAAGAAGGGGAAAAACAGAGATGGCCTTAGCACGACGTCATTGTTGAATCTGACCGCAGTGACATTTTTGCTGTTCCTCCCACAGTAGAGGTTTCAAGAGAAGTCAGAAGGCAAATTTGCTCAAGGTTTGAGAGACCTCACTGCCTAAGCAAGGCCCAATCTGAACACAAAAATGGCCAGTATTTCCATGCACCACCATTAGTAAAAAATACTAGCCCTAGTCTATGAGTAGCCATGCAATAATTCATGCTCTCACAACTGCCACATGAGAATGTTGATGTAGGATGCTTTTCAATGCTGTTTTAATACCAAAAGCAATCTAGTTCACATATGGGCTCAGAATAACATTCCTTTTTCATTTGCTCCTGCCTCAGTGTTTCTGTCAATCTCTTACTTCTGTCGCTGAAATATCAATCGGAATTTAAGTGCAAAGTTATATATCAAAGTTAAAAAAAAAAAAAAAAAATCATGATTACCTAAACAACAGATCAGACTAAATATAACTTACAATTAGTTAAAAATTAGGGAAAAATAGTCTCGGGATTTTTTTTGCCTTAACTATTTTTTCTAATAATTTTGAATGAGAACTCTCACCTGCACACACATCTAGCTGCAACAATCAGTGAGTGGATTTTATCAACTTAGTACTAGCACACCTGATGCCAGGACTTAAGAGAGGGACATAGTCCAGACAGTTAGGATACTACAAGACTAGCCCAATCCATTTGTTACCACTTTCTTCCTTCTTTGAAGTACAGATTTGACAGATATTTTAGGCAAAATGTTTTAGAAGATGCCCTTCTCTTACATAGATCCCCAAAGCTTCAAGTACACAGAATGCATATCCAAGGAAAGGATCAAGTGCCTTCACTCTACAGAACTTAAAACAGAATAATTTTATGCCATTTAAAAAGTGCTATCTAGGGCTATTAATCTTGTAACATGACAAAGATTTGGAATTTTAAAACTGTGTATTTGTATTTTCCTTCTCCCTTAAAATCATATTTTCTCCATTAGGTAAATTAACTTTTACTTAGAGGGACACTAACAACTCCCACATGCATGACTACAGACTTAGCTGGTTTTATTGCTGCAAGTTTTTAGTGAGGTGCCACCACCAGACAGAAGGATGAATAAAGTGGGAGGCATCATTTTTTGCTGGTGTAATTTTTTCTATGAATATACAATCTCAATACACAAACCCAAATATGAGCCAATAGGTAGTAGCCTTTGCAAAAGCACACTCATCTTGCCACAGTAAATTTGACTGCAATACCTTCTTGTTATTTATCCTACTGTTTCTTAGATGATGTTAGAAAGCCAAGATGCAACAGTTACACCATCACCTTTTTCCACTAACTGGGTGACATGGGGTGGGCAAATAATTTCACCTGCTGGTGTTTGCTTCCCATCCCACCAGTGCTCAGCTGGGACATGTGAAGCATGAACTCTTCCCTCTTAGTACAGATTTCATGTTTACTCAAAACACTATGAGATCCACTTCCATGATGCTGCAGCCTTAAAATTACTGACAAAAATACATCTGTCTCCATTGAATAAGTTAGGGAAATGCACTTTAAAAAATAATAATAATTATCATTAATAAGGCTGTATTATATTTTCTCCAAAATGGTAACTCCAACTTCTACCAATACTACTGCACAGATAAAAATCCAAACTACTGAAGTCAATGGAGTTAGACAAGCATAAAAACCAATAATGTGCACCCAAGCCCATCATTTTATAGTGCAAATTATTTACTTGAGTTTTTATCTGGAAGCCTGTCAATCTTCCACACAACAGCCCTGTAGGCACTCTCGTATTTTGCTGTTCCAATTGAGACTTGTATTAGAGAATCAGATTCAACCTCGTGTAAAGATCCAAAGCATGCTCTCCTATTCATTTTTGCTTTTAGGGACTTCTGCCTTTGGAGGTTCATGGTCCAAAGCGTTTTCACCCACTGCGTGGGAACGGGAAAGTGTATCATAACATTTTCACAGTATTTCAGAGAAGGCAAACGGGCTGGGATCAGAGCAGTTGAAGACATGATTATAAAAGCCTGAAGTTCAACATATGCCCCCTGAACCACTACAGCAGCCTTCACAGAAAAGGGAAGCTCTTGCCCTTGATACTGTGTCCTGAACCGCATCAGCTCCAGCCTATAAGCGTCCGGGGGAGTAAACTTAATAATTCGCGATTGCTCAAATTCCTGCACTTTGACACAGTTATGGAAATGGCAATCAAGAATCTCAATCCATTTCTTCTCCTCCTCCTTCTCGAAGTAACGCTCATCCCTCCTCTGGAGCTCCAGGTCATTCAGGGTGAGAAAGCAGTCAGCACTTCCATTCACAAAACACAAGCAGTAAACATGTGTGATGACAGCACTTTCTACCAGTTTTCCTTCTGCCCTAGTGACTTTCCCCCAAAAGTTATCCACTATTTCTAGAGTAATTTCTTGCTCTTCATAATTCCTCTTCTGTCTAGAAATGGTAGGAAGCTTCATAAGCTCTTCCTCGACTGTTACAAGGAAATCAGTGAAGTCATTATAATCTGTGGTACCCAGCTTTAACATCTGCTCAACCTCTGGCTCATGGACCACTTCTGCTTTGGGATGATACCTCCTTTTCTCTGTGTAAGAAACACACTCGATCTTCACGGTATGGATTTTTCCTGAGACATTGTAGCTCTCTAACTTGGGTTCAGACAGTCTACAGTGTGGCTGCAGCTGGAATTCCTTGAAAGGTTTCTCCAGGCCCTTTTCATAATACATCTGCAGCACGCCTCCAGCTAGAACGCTAAGGTAAATAGGGCCCCATTGCCGAGAAGACATCATGTTCTTCTTTTCAGGAATCCTCAGCATGAACAGCCACCCATCTGCTTTCTGGCTCCTGAAGAGGCTGCGTGGGATGGCAGCGGAGAGGTTGTGCCACACATGAGCACTGGAGACAGGTGGGCTTCCTGTGGCATTGCAGCCATCGGCTTGCAGATGTTCAAGCCTCGCACAGATGTAGCTGAAGGAGCCCTGGTTAAGGCTTTTCTGATCGTGGCAAGTCTCTTTGTCTTTAGGATGACAGATGCTCTTGTCAAGCACTTTGTCCTTCCTGTGGGTGCCAACATTAGCTGGTGATGTGCTGAGGGAGCATCCTTCTGTCCAAAAGGGACTAGAAAAAGCACAGTCGTTCTCGAAGTACGGGAAGTGCCCCAGTACTGATGACAACTCTCGTGACTCCTCGCAGCTTCCTGACAGATTAGGGCTTCCTTCGTCTGTTGATTTGGACACCAAAGTCTTAACTGGATGGTCATTAGGCAAGGTGTTCAAAGAAAGGCTGCTGGGCTTCTGCGAGGTTAGGGATGAGCAAGTCCCGGGTGACGGAAGCAGGTTAATGTTTGACGGCCATTCAGGGATGGGATAAAGGAGGTGAATCCCAGGCTTTGGGATGCATGGACTTACTGGGTAGTCTCTGGTAGGTGTAGTAAGTGGAGAGTTACTGGGTGGTCCAGGACTGAGGTAGAAGTCAACTACAGGAGATGAGAGTGGAGTGCTACCTGTAGAAGATGACCTACTTGAAGAATCATGCACACTAGAGAGATTGAGTTTAAGGCCATTTGCTTTACAACAACTCTGATTATCAACCAGTTTCTGAGGTGACTGGAAGAGTGGCTCATCATCGAAGGTGACCCAATTTGCTGGATTTGTGGAACACATCTCGTAGGACAAACTCGAGGCACTTGAGCACGTATCACCCACAGACCATCTACAAAGAAACAACAGACATGTGCGGAAATAAATTCTCTTGAAAGACAAAAAAAAGAAAACCAACCCTTATGACATTCAAACCATACAAAGCATAGAATGTGCATGCAGTTCATCCAGTGAACTTTGGCTTTACCCATACAGAGACAACCATGTAGAAGCAGATAAACTGCCCATGAATCCCCACTGCTTTCCCAGGTTGGGAATCTAAGAGAATCTAAGCTTTACGGGCTGTTTAGAGCATCTCACATATGAGGCCTCTATATCAGAGAGCAGAAAGTCCCATACCATACAGGACTGCTCGTATAATACTTTACACTGTAGAGCTTACGTTTAGCTTGTCATATGGGCAGAGATTTTCCTCATCTGTAGACCTCTGCTTCAGATGAGGCTTCTCCCATTAAACAAAACCGTGTTTTACTAGGAACTGTAGAGCTGTTTGCAAGAACAAAATTAGGAGGGTGAGAGGGGATTATTTTTTGTTGTTGAAAAGCTGTAGCAGTTCAGTGCTGATGGCAAAGGCACACATACTACAGCATCAGGGCAAAACCAGCCCTGCAAGATAACATGTGCATTGAGCAGCCAGCTCTTGAGGTTTCTGGAAGGCAGACATTCTCCTCCTGTGATGGGCACAGGTGACAAGGCAACTGCATGAGCATCCCCAGGTCAGGGGCAGTGGAAAGCATGTTGTGGCCACCAGAAGTGGACTGTGACTCATCACCCGCTCCATGCTGCTATCTCAGGTGCCTCCTGCCAGCAGCAGGATGCTCCCATTGGTCCCAGATGCCTTCCACACCTGGGCGGGAATCATTTCACATCAGTTTCTTCAACCCTGACTTATGGAATCATAGCATCATAGAATGGTTGGGATTGGAAGGGTCCTTAAAGATCAAGACTGGACACATTAGAGGGGATGAGGAAAACCATTAGACTTATAAACAAGAAAGTTAGCCCTGAGGATAAGCAGTGCATCCCTGTTGAATGGTAGGCTGAAGGCATCTACCAAAGATAAAACCCTAGTGAAACACAATCCAAGGCCAAGTAAAACACACGCATCTGCTAAGCACCAAATTGGCTGGTGGCCTGAAAAATTCAGGTCTTTAAACCAATTAATAAACTACACTTCATCAAAGTACCTTTGGTAAAGAACTCAGCTACATGTCCTCCGAGCAGGACTGCACCCAGTACAATGTTAATCTTGTCTGGATGGCAAGAAATGTAAATGAAATGTGCACTGAAATGTAAATGCTCACTGTATCCTCATGCAGAGTATAATGTCCCCAAAATTCTTCCTCCCCACTGTTCCTGACTGATGAAGAAGTGAGAAATAACTTGCTAATGACTGAGGAGGAATCGAGTAAAATGAAGCACCACAGGGCACATATAAACATCATTTATTTGATCACAGAATCACAGAATTGTCAGAGTCAGAAGGGACCTCTAGAGATCATCTAGTCCAACTCCCCTTCTAAAGCAGGATTGGCTAGAGCACAGTACTCAGGACTGCATCCAGGGGGGGTCTTGAATATCTCCAGAGAATGGGACTCCACAACTTCTCTGGGCAGCCTGTTCCAGGGCTCCACCACCATAAGAAGTTCCATATTTAAATGGAACTTCCTCTGTTCCAGCTTGTGCCCATTGCCCCTTGTCCTGTCACTGGGAACTACTGAAAAGAGTCTGGCTCCATCCTCCTTGCACCCACCCTTTAAATACTTATAGGCATCAATAAGGTCTCCTCTCAGCCTTCTCTTCTCCAGGCTAAACAGTCCCAGCTCTGTCAGCCTTTCCTCAAAAGGGAGATGCTCTAATCCCTCAATCATCCTTGTTGTCCTAAAGAAGTTTTCAAAAAGTTATTCTTGTTATGTCAGAACATACTCATGTTTGCCTGAAAGCACAAGGAAGTCTGAGTCCATACAAAGCCACCTGTACATATGGTACTCTGTTAATTAAGGCTGAATAACAATTACTTAAAGCTATACCTCTTCATGCACAGACAGTCACTGTTAGGTCGTTTATTAATTGCGTGGCACTGCAGCATATAATCATATAACCACAAAAGCCATTCCTTGGCTGTAGTGTTTAGAGAACCGTTTGTTTCTACAGATGCCAGAGTTCAGCCAAGTGAAATTTTATGCTACGAGTAATTATTTTTATCATGTGCCCATTATCTCTTGGCCAGTTTATATCCATTAAGAAAGTACCATAAACCATGGTATGCCCATCTCACTCTGCAGCCGAGCAAACAGGAGTTTGCAATGGAGGAGGACTCTGGTCCTTCATTATTTTTTGAACTCTCAACCTCTTTGTTCAGTAAAAATATTTGCACTATGCTAGTTATTTTATAAGCATCCTCCTCTCCACTCACAGAGAGAGAGAAAAGGAGCAAACAACTTATGAATGACTGTCATAGCTCAGACACACACAACTACCAGTGTATCCTTCACCCACACAGTCACTTCATCAAAACAGTGCAGCAATGGAAAGAAAAATCACAGCTATTTCGTTACTGACTTACTCATCATTTTTTCCTCCCATTCCACACCCTCCTCCTTACCCTCTGGCTCCTTCAGTGGTATACATTGATTATTTCTAGATCAGGAAGGGTAAAAGTTTTCTGACCTGGCTTCATCTTAGCAAGCCTGACTTGTTCAGGACAGCTGATGTGCCGCTACCTCGGAGCGCGGCTTTTTTCTGTAGCCGCCAGGACCGTGGGCTACGCTGCTGCACAGGCAGGATGAGGGAGCAGCCTCAAAGGCTGCCATCCAAAACTCCTCTGGCATTTACAGGAGACAACCAACAGCCAGCAAGAGAGCAAACCAGGCTGAGGGAGGGAAGGGGAAGCCTTTCCCTCCCGGGGGGATCCGGGGGCAATGCAGGGGGATGGGTGAAGGTCAGTGGGAATGCCAGGCTGTGCAGCACCCTGGCACTGCCCCAGGGCCCCACAGGGCAGCCCCAGCCACGCTGGTGGGGCAGAGCACAGCACCCCAAGGCACGGGAATGAAAAGCAAAACACAACATGGGAATATGTAAGTATATGCCAACGTTGGTCACAGTAAAGAACACACTCTGCAGCCTGCTTCCCTTGCTCGTTTGAAACAAAGTTCTTCAGTGTGCTTTATTATTGCCAGATGTTGAGTTCTTTTTCCCCAACGTCTGTTACCAATCCCTTTTTAATATGTGATGTTACAGATTATTCGGCAGGTTTTTTTTTTTCCTGTTACAAAACCAAAAGATGTTGGAAATTCACATGCCAAATATTTAACTTCAGTCCATAAATGAAGCAAACCACTTTGGCAGATGGAGCCCTCATCTGCAGCTGCATTACCCTTCACACACCTGTCAGAGGCAGCTGACAAAAACACGATCCCCTACTATTGCTCACTGATTCCCCAAACTAGGAATGGAGGAAAAAATCCAAGTGGATCTTTAAAATCCATTAAAACATCCAAAGCTGATGTTTTTATAATGTCACACTAACAAAAGGAAGTGCATGCTCTCATGTGTCATGGGCAGCACCATTCATCAAGTATTTAAAAGAAAAAAACCTCATAGTCTTATGCTACTTTATGCAGCTTGTTCTCTGATGCTTTTACATCTGCACAACACCATAAATTTATCTTTCTCTCAAGTTCTTTTTTTTTTCTAAAAAGTGTTCCAAAATCCTCCTTAAGAATTAGGACATTCTTCCTTGAAATGGCAGTAAACTCAGGCTTTAGGGGAGCTGTGTTCTGACTCCCAAAAGCTCCCAAGGGACTCAAGTAAATGTAACCCAAATGCTTTGGGGAAGAGGGAAATGATACAAGATGCTATTGACGTCTATTACCACATACGTTATGCAGCCAGTAACATTTAAATTACAAGCAGTTGTCATATCTCCTTCAGATATGTGACAGGAAATACCATTTTTAGAATACTAAAACTGGAAACAAAATTGCTGGCCGAACTAACAGTTGTTCCTAACTGCATCAATTCCAGTGAACCCAAAAGCTGCAACTCATCTCAATTCATCCTCTTCTGCCTGAAAACAATCTTCCTGTTTATCACATTAACTCAGTCCCTCAGCACTGAATGGATGGTACCTTAATTTCTTCATTTTAATACCTCAAGGATGTAAGGAAGAGAAATCCTACCCTATTACTGAGACATTTTATAGGCTGCAGCTGTTACTGGGTCCTTCGTTGCTTTGAAAATCCCAGATCAAATCTGCAGCGAAAATACTGCTCAACTTTTCTGCCTTGCTGGGGGAAAATTGTTACCTCTTCCTATTGTGAAAGAGTAATAACAACTTCCTACATGCTCCCAGGTGTGATTCAAGGTATTGACTCCAGTACAGGTTCTCTGCTAGCTGAGCATGCGGGCCTATCCTCCAGCAACATCCCCCCCATCCTGATGGGGGCCCTGCCTTGCCTGCTCCACAGCAGGGACAAAGCAACATCTGAACGAGGGCAGTTCATGAGGGAAGCCCCCTGAGCATCTCACTCCCAAGGTCTTGCCTGAACACCCGGCAAGAGATAAAACCCTCAAGCGCATCGCGGCGGATTTCATAGGATCACAGAATGGTTTGGGTTGGAAGGAACCATAGAATCATAGAATCATAGAATCTTAGGGGCTGGAAGGGACCTTGAGAGATCATCTGGTCCACCCCCCCTGCCAGAGCAGGGTCACCTAGAGTACATCACACAGGAACTCATCCAGGTGGGTTTTGAATGTCTCCAGTGAAGGAGACTCCACAACCTCCCTGGGCAGTCTGTTCCAGGGCTCTGTCACTCTCACAGTAAAAAAAATTTTTCGGATATTCACCTTGAACTTCCTATGCTCCAATTTACACCCATTACCCCTTGTCCTATCACTGGTCATCACCGAGAAAAGCCTAACTCCGTCCCCCTGACACTCACCAACCTTAAAGATCATCTCGTTCAAACCCCCCTGCAAGGACAGGGACACCTCACACT